AAAAAAAAAAAAATCCAAAAAAACCAAAAACAAAAAATTAAACAAAAGGTCCCAGGAGATGGATCAGTCAGTAAGTTCTTGGTGCTCAAGCATGAGGGCCAGCATTCAATCTGCATGCAGCACTTGTAATCCCAAGGCTAGGGAGGCAGAGACAAGAGGTCCTTGGGGCTTGCTGGACAATCCATTGAGATTTAGTGAAGAGGCTCTGCTGCAAAAATATTAGGTAAGAATGACTGAGGAAGATGCTCAATGTTGACCTCTAGCCTCCACACACAAACACGCACATGTACATGCATACACACACACACACACACACACACACACACACACAGAAAATAAAAAATTTAAGGAGGTTGGCAACTGGGACTAAGAGCACTGGACTAAGAGCACAGCTAACCACCACCTAGTTCTAGGGAATCCAATGCTTTCTTCTGGCCTCCATGGGCACTGCGTGACACAGATCCACTTACATACATGCAAGCAAAACACTCATACACGTACATACATACCTACATAGTAAAATAGTTTTTTGAAGAGAAGGTTGGCAACAAGCAGATTCTAAAGAAAAACAAAATCCTCACCGGGCGTGGTGGCGCACACCTTTAGTCCCGGCACCTGGGAGGCAGAGGCAGGCAGATCTCTGTGAGTTCAAGGCCAGCCTGGTCTACACAGTGAGTTCCAGGACAGCTGGGGCTACAGGGAGAACCCTGTCTCAAAAAGACAAAGGAAAAGGAAAAAAAAAATATCCTAACCAAGCAAGGGCAAGATATCACAGAAGAAAATCAAGACAGCGGACAACTGTCTTACTTAAGACACATGTAAATCTCAGTTATTAGAAGCCCCCCAAACAAAATTTTCCTCATATATGAAAATTTGTGAAAAAGGGACAATACTATGTTTTAGTGAAAAATGGGTTTCCAATTAAATGGTGCTGGAACATCTATATATTTACTTAGGAGGAAAAAAAAATGAAACCTGATGGTTACAAAATATAAAAATGTTAATTCCAAATGGACTGATAATTTAAATTTGCATTGAAGTTTCTTTAAATTTCATTTCAAGGGCAGAGAAAATTAATTTTCTTTTTAACATACCTAACTTTTCTTATAAACAAGTACTTCTTCTCTCTCTCACTTTTATTCCCCTTTAATTCTAGGATTAAACCCAAGGCCTTGTACTTGCTACACAAGCAACTATCACTGAGCTATATACCACAACCCCTTTTTTGAGACAGGGTCTCACTAAATTGTCCAAGCTGGTCTTCAACTTGCTATGTGGCCTAGGCAGGCCTTAGATCTCTAATCTTCCTAACTCAGTCTTCTGAATAACTGGTATTAAGTCCCATGCCACCAAGTCCAAGTCTAAATAGCATTTAAATGAGCCAGATGTAGTGACACACACTTTTAATCTCAGCACTCGGGAGACAGAAGCAGGTGGATCTCTGTGAGTTAAAGCCCGGTCTGGTCTATACAGCAAGTTCCATGCCTGCCAGGGCTACACAGAGAGACTCTGTCTTCCAAAAGAATAAAATAATAAATATGATTAAATACAAATTATTTTTAAGAACTAAAACCCTATTAATCTTCACATCTATTAAGATTATGAGAAAAGAAATGTGTTAAGATTTATCAAGAAAACTTTATACTCATTCATCTAAAGACAATACTAACTCCAAAAGCTACTGTTGTCTCTATCAGAAGTCAATTCAAAGGATCAACTGTGTATGATTTGATTGGTAAGATTTTGTTGTTGTTTTGGTCTTTTTGAGACAGGGTACGTAGCCCTGTAGCTCTCACTAGCCTAAAACTTGCCTTCTGCCTCTGACAAATAAATGCTTGGATTACAAGTATGACATCATGTCCAGCCTTGACGGGTACATCTTTTTTTTTTTTTTTTAAACTTTCTTCCATTTATTTATTTATTTTGTCAGGGGAGGGGGCACAGTGCACTTTGCAAGAAGGCTATCTTTCAGGAACTGGGTCTCTCCTATCATGAATCTGGATGATGAACTAAGATCTTCAGGCTTGGCAACAAATGTTTTTAACCTACTGGGTCATTTTGGTGGCCCCATTAAAAAAAAAAAACTCTGACATATACACACATACACACATACAAACACACACACACGTGTCATCTTGCCACTCCCCACCCCTTTTGTTTTCATGTCATCTTTTTAAAAAAAAATCTTATTTATTATTTTTATTTTATGTGTATGCATGTATTGCCTGCATGTAGGTAAGTACACCCATGTCATGCAATGCCCGTGGAGGACAGAAGAGGCTGTCAGATCCCCTGGGACTAGAGTTAAGGACAGTTGTTAGCTGCCATGTGGGTGCTGGGAATCAAACCTGGGTCTTCTGCAAGAACAATCAGTGTTCTTAACCACTGAGCCATCTCTCCAGCCCTCATGTCATCTTTTTTTACGAGTATGACTTGGGTATTTTTTGATTTGCCCAAATGACAAAAACTCAATTGGTCACTTACATATATGACATATAAATGATTATTAATTTTGGTGTTTTCATTCCCTATTTCCCTTCTCATCCTCTCCTTCTAAAAGCCTTCTTCCCAACAAGCTCCCCTCCTACTTAAAATGTTTAAATTACAATTTTAAAAAAAATTTTACTTATTATTTTATGTAAATGAGTGTATTGCCTGCATGTAGGTAGGTGCACCCATGTTGTGCAATGGCCAAAGAGGTCAGAAGAGGGCATTGGATCCTCTGGAACTAGAGTTACAGACAACTGTTAGACATCATGTGGGTGCAAGGAATTGAACTCAGATCTTCTGAAAGAGCAGTCAGTGCTATTACCCACTGAGCCTCTCTCCAGCACCCCCCAATTTTTATATTGTGTAGTGTGTGTGCATCCATGACATTCCACCGCATGTATGTGTGGAGGTCAGAGGACAGCTTGCAGGAATCTGTTCACTCTTTTCACCATGTGGGTCCTGGAGATTGAATTCAAGTTCATCAGACTTGGCAACAGGTTCTTTTACCCAGTGAATCAACTGGCCACTCCCCTACCCCCTCTATTTTCATGTCTTTTTTTTTTTTTGGTCTTTTTGAAACAGGGTCTCCCTGTAGCCCCAGCTGGCCTGGAACTCACTATGTAGACCAGACTGGCCTCAAACTCACAGAGATCCATCTGCCTC